AGAGTAGTAAATATGACATATGTGTAGATTATAAAATAATAAAGAAAACATGTTATTTTGTAGATCTTCAAACTAAATTGTTAGGATTAATTCACACAGATCCAGTTGATTTAAAACAAACCATGTCTAGAGGTAGTAAAAATTATTTTGTAACCTTTATAGATGATTATTCTAGATGCACAAAAGTGTACTTAATCAAAAATAAAGATGAAACATTTGATGTGCTTTTAACCTACAAAGAAAAAGTAGAAAATCAATTGAATAAGAAAATTAAGAGGATTAGATCGGATAAAGGTGGTGAATAGGTACTATTTAATGAATGTTGTGTTAGAAAAGGTATTATCCATGAAGTAACCCCACCATAATTACTTGAGTTTAATGGAGCAGCCAAGAGAAAGAATAAAACTCTTAAGGAAATGATAAATGCCATGCTTATTTGTTCTAGTGCACCTAATAACCTTTGCGGAGAAGCCTTGCTTACTATGTGCTTTTTACAAACTAGAATACCTGATAAGAAAACTGGTAAATCTCCTTATAAGCTATGGAAAGGTTATCAACCTTACCTTAAATATCTAAGAGTATGGGTGGTGCCTAGCTAATGTGATGTTACTCAATCCTAAGAAAAGGAAAATAGGCTGTAAAACCTCTAATTTCATGTTCTTAGGCTATGTTGAACATAATGTTGCCTATAGGTTTTCTAGTTCTTAAAAGTGATATGCTTGAGAGTAATTCTATAGTGGAGATGAAAAATGTTGAGTTTTTTAAACATGTGTTTCTCTTAAAGGTTAGTGAGACGTATGAACCCGTTGATAACAATAATAGTAATGCCTTGTGTGAGGATTTAAGAAGAAGTAAAACACAAAGGAAGGATACTTACGTTAGTAATTATTTTTATGCTTATCTTGATAATAATGATTCAACTAGGTTTGTATAGGCTACTAATGCTTCTGATACAAAACTATGGGGCTATTAGAACTAAAATTGAATCAATTCAAAAAAANTGATAAGAAAACTGGTAAATCTCCTTATAAGCTATGGAAAGGTTATCAACCTTACCTTAAATATCTAAGAGTATGGGTGGTGCCTAGCTAATGTGATGTTACTCAATCCTAAGAAAAGGAAAATAGGCTGTAAAACCTCTAATTTCATGTTCTTAGGCTATGTTGAACATAATGTTGCCTATAGGTTTTCTAGTTCTTAAAAGTGATATGCTTGAGAGTAATTCTATAGTGGAGATGAAAAATGTTGAGTTTTTTAAACATGTGTTTCTCTTAAAGGTTAGTGAGACGTATGAACCCGTTGATAACAATAATAGTAATGCCTTGTGTGAGGATTTAAGAAGAAGTAAAACACAAAGGAAGGATACTTACGTTAGTAATTATTTTTATGCTTATCTTGATAATAATGATTCAACTAGGTTTGTATAGGCTACTAATGCTTCTGATACAAAACTATGGGGCTATTAGAACTAAAATTGAATCAATTCAAAAAAAATAATACTTGGACCTTAGTAGTCTTGCCTAAAGGAGCAAAAATCATTGGTTGTAAGTGAATCTTTAAGAAAAGTATCACCCTAATGGATCTACAGAGAAGTATAAGGCAGAATTAGTAGAAAAATGTTTTATTAAAAAACCTAACATAGATTACTTTGACACCTTTGCCCCTATGACTAGAATTTCCTCCAGTTGAGCATTGTTAGCCCTAACAGTCTTTTTGAATGGGGATTTGGAGGAGCAAAGTTATATGACTCAACTTGTAGGGTGTGTTGTAGTTAGTCAAGAGAATAATGTATGTAAACTTTTAAAATATTTGTATGGGTTGAAACAAACACCTAAAAAATGACATGAAAAACTTGATAATATATTGTTATGTGATGGTTTTCACCTATTTATGTTGATAAATTCTTAAAATGGTGATTGTGTCATTATATGCTTATATGTGGATGGCATGTTAATTTTTGGCACATGCAATGACATTGTCTCTAGAACTAAATTGTTTATAGGATCGAACTTTGAAATGAAAGACATGGATAAAGCCAATGTAATTTTAGATGTTAGAATCATAAGAAATGAAGATAGTATAATACTATCCCAAGAACAATACATTGGGAAACTTGTTAAAAAGTTTAGGTATTATGACTTCAAACCCGTGAGTACCCCTTATGATGCTAATTCTAAATTAATGAAAAATGAAGAAGAATATATATCTTAACCTTAGTATACCCAGACAATGGAGAGCTTATTGTATTTGATAAACGTTTTTAGACCTAATATTGAATATACAATAGGTAGATCGAGTAGGTACACTAATGTCCAAATCAGGAATATTGGAATGCACTTACAAGGCTTATAAGATACTTAAGAGGTTCAATAAATTATATCATTAAATATAGTGAATTTCCTATTGTACTAGAAGGGTACCATGATGCTAACAAATATTTTGATTCAGATGAGACAAAATCCACTAGTGGTTATTTATTCAAACTTGGCAATTACTTAAAGATCAGTCAGACAAACAAATATTGCAAGATCAACAATAGAATCTGAGTTTGTTGCTCTTGAAATGACTGGTAGTGAGGCTTAGTGGTTGGAAAACTTCTTTGCAAACATTTCACTTGAAATGAAACCAAACCCATCAATGTCAATGCACTATGATTGTCAATCGGTTATAGCTATAGCTAAAAATAAGAATTATAGTGGAAATAATATACATATACAATTGAGACACAGTTTGGTTTAAATATTGCTAAGAGGGCACTACTTCTTGATTATGTGAAGTCCGAACGAAATTTACTAAAATCATCTGCCTTATCCATTAGACGTTCTTGTCTAACCGAAGGGCGGCAATGATAGTCTTAAAGAGGAAATGGTCTACCGCCTCAATAATCTTTTTTTCTTTCTTTTTTAATTATCTTTTGTCAGCGTTTTATAAGAAGAAGCACGTATGACTAAATTACAATTTCAACCCTCCCACTTCAAATTCTCGTCCTCCTTTGTGTTGCAAGCCAGATGCCTTAGGATACAAAGTTAATGACATCATGGTGAACTTCGATGATGGACAACTCCTTGCTCTAGTAACTACTACACTGGTTCTTCCATGATCCCCATGATACGATCATGGTCCGTTTCCTCCACATTGCTCACCTAGTTTATATGAACTTGGTGAGGACATTGTAGCCAAAAGAGGTAGCCAACATTACCTATAGAGGGGCATTTCTCTACTGGATATTGATCTTCCTGATGAAGGTGCTTTTTTTCCTAATGCTCAAAAACAAGACAAACACGTTGCACCCAAATACTGAAACCGTAATTCTTGAGGAGATATTGATGGAAACCATCCTAGAGAGTTAATGAGAGATCTATCGCAAGGAGCAACCCTTAGGTTTTGTGTTTGGAGAATGGAAGCAGTATAAAGACTTAGACTGTCAATCGTTGGAAGATGGTGGTTTCAAGTTATGTCTGTGGTTTTCTTTTTTCTTAAGACCTTGTCATATGTAACTATAGGGTTTCATTTTCAGGACTTTTGTATGGAGCGAGACAGTTTTTAGCTTGTGTTAAAAGGTGCTTGCGGTCCCTTAAGAGTGAGTGCAGTCATCACCTTATCATAACATAAGAGATACCAAAATGGTTTACTTTTGGGTTTGGAAGGGCCTAGCTACACAATAACCCTCCACGTTAGTGGGGGGTTTGACGAGTTAGGTAACCCAATAGGCCTTCCGTTTATCTACACACTTGTTAATAAACGCCAGAGTATACTCGCCTTTCATTTGTTGTGGGTGTTTGTAAAATTAGTTGTGGTAATCGGTATCTTAAGAGGTGTGCTGGTTGGTACCTACATTAAAACCACTGCTCCATCATATTTAACAGGTCATTTTTCTCCGCTCAGAGGAGTTTTCGCTCATTACTTAACTCTAATTAGGACGGGTTGACAGGAGCCATACATACAACTCTAACTTGCCTTTACATCGTAAATAATCAGTGGCTTAAGTATAACATACAAATAGATTAATTTGAGAATAGCTGACTAAAAAAGAATCTGTAGAGGATATGTTACAATTCGTGCGTTGTTATAGAGTTATCTGTTCTGAATAATTGGTAATATATTTTGTTGTGATAAGCTTTTCAGACAAACTTGGTGTGGACCCTATAGGTACATATTATCAAGAGATGTCTATCTCCAAGATAAAATAAAGACGATAATTTAAAATTAACTTAAATTTAATGTTGGATGAATTCTACTAAAAAAAACCTATATCGTATAATACTATATATATCATATACTATAACTATATATATATATATATAATACTTATAGTATATATATATATATATTATATGTCTAGTTTGGTATTCATGTAAAGAGATAAAGAGAAAATGATTCTTTCTTCCTTATTCAAGGGATTTTAGGCAAAAATCATTATTCATTTTGTCGTCATTAGCTGAATTCGGACAAGAGTGACATCGTTCTAAACCATAATGTCAGTATATTGTTTAGTTTATCTGTTCAGCAGTTAATTTATTAAGTGATAACAAGAATAATGGAGCGTCTTGTATGTCGACGTATGTTTGAATAGCTAAAACTTTTAGTTAAGTTAAAAGAGAGTATAATTTAATTTTAAATATTTATTCTTCTATTTAATTATTTAGAGAACATCTTCTAGTTACATGGTCTTTAAGAGTGTGATGCGATTGACATATACGGATTCGTGATAGGAACATAATTTGTATAAAAAGACAACCCTTTTAATCCTAACAGTAATATCACAAATCCGTCAATGTTTAATATACATAATTAACACATTTTTATGTTCATATACAGATTAGGAAAGCCGTGTAATTAATACAGGAAGAGCATGGAAGGAATGATAGTTTGAGTAGTAACTAGTAATCCCTGTGAACAAATATAACCTTTGTTTGTTGATATAAGAACCTCCACACACATTTCCCTATTTTTTCCATTTTCTTTGTTTCTTTCATTCAACAAACCAACATACAAAAGGCAATACAATGAACCGTATATTGAAAGTGGTGCAAGAGTTGAAGCCTCTCTTACTGATGATGCTGGTGCAGGTTGCATATACTGGAAATACTGTAAGTACTAGCCTCGCCATAACTGATGGAATGAGCATTAAAGTATTCACTGCTTACCGTCAAATTTTCGGAGCAGCTATCACTATTATTCTTGCTCTTATTTTTGAGAGGTGAATTAACACACCATAAGTTGTTTTATTTCATAATATTGACATCATAATTTATGCATCTTTGGATAATCAATGTTTTTTACTTCTTTTTTATAATCAAAGTAGAAAGAACAGGCCAAAGTTGACATGGAGGGTGCTCTTGATGACATTTCTTTGCGGATTATTTGAGTATAATTGATGCAAACTATTCAGCATTCACCTCTTTGTTCTTATTATTAAATTAATTTATAAAATAACTTGAATTCAAATAATGTTTGTTGATGATATAAATGAACAGAGGGAGTTTATTCCAAAATCTTTTTTTCACCGCCATAGCGTTGGTATCAGCAACATATGCTAACGCTATTTTCAACATGGTTCCTGTGATCACTTTTATCCTCTCCTTCCTGTGCGGGTAGGTAGTCACCACTCACCAATTTTTACACTCATGTGCTATTTTACTTTTTGAGGGAAGAGAATTCAAAAGTATTGTAGTGATTTCTGATTTTTTTGTAGCTATGAAAAGTTAAATTTGCAAACCACCGCAGGGAAAGCTAAGGTGATGGGAACGATAATTGGAGTTAATGGGACAATGATGTTGTCATTCTTTAAAGGAGTAGAAATAAATATTTGGAAAAATATTCACATTAATCTCATGCATAAAAAAGACAATAATGAGATAAGAGCATCTGATGGAAAAGAATGGATAGGTGTTCTAAGTGGTATTGGATGTTGCTTCAGTTTTTCAGTGTGGCTCATCATTCAGGTATATGTTTCCTTTTGCTTTTATATATATACACATGTTACATCTAAATATTAATGTTTTTCTCTCCAAATAATCCAACAACTGGTATCATCTATGGAAATAAAAAAGAAGAAAAAGTCACGATTAAGAATTGATAAAACAAGGTTGTACTAAAGGACAAGGTGAACATTTCATCTTCTCTGTACCAAAAAGAAATGACTAGTATGATCAATAAAAAGAAATCAACACCATAATAAAGTCATGAAGGAAAGATTTTTTAAAACAATATAGATGAAGCTCAAATAATTATATATGATGAAATCATAGTGCATAGATTGTCTTGAAAACAATAATTATACTCTCTCATGATGAAAAAATAAAAAAGGACGGTCCAACAACTAACATATTTTAATAAGGTTCTAGATGATCTTGAAAATATCCAAATGAAGCTAGAAGAAGAAGAATGAGGAAATGGAGAAGACAAGGTTTTATTGTTCCTCAATATTTTTGTATAAGAAGTTTGAGCATTTCAAGGATTATTTGTTGTTCAAAAAGGAACAAACTACTACCTTGGAGGAAGTTTAGAACTCAACAAGAACTAAAGAACTTCAAATGCTTCAAACAACTAAGGCACACGATAATAGGGTGGGATTTATTGCATTAAACCTGAAGAATAAAGAGAAGAAGTAAAATGAAAGAATTTTAAGCACGTCTTGTAGACAAGATGGATAAATGGATTGCTTGGGAATTACATCTATCACAAGAGATGTCACTAGGAATGACAAATAAACATGTTTTCATGGATATTGTTCAAACTTTTTCTCTATTTTGATGAGGAATCCTCGCATTAACTGGGTATAGCTACCCCAAAACAAACTTTCCTAGTTTGTTATTTTGTGTTTTTCAAGTCTATTTTTTAAAATAGACTTAGATTCGACAAACTTAGATTTTAAGTCTATTATTGACTAACAAACTTAAATTTTAAGTCAATTGTTGACCAAGTCTTCAAAATAAAACAGATGCTATATATGGGTTATTTTCTTTTCATGCCTAAGTCTTCTCTTTCTTCCTCAAAATAAATGAGATTCTTCTTTGCCATTCCACGAGATTCAACTACCGAGTTATACCCTCCTAGATTCATTATCATTGTTGACTTGTTGGAATCAAATTTCTACCATCACCGGAGTTACTAGAAGCATGAGTGGCGCCTCTTCTTTATGTAAGGCTTCTCGTTCACAATCATTGTAGCTCCTTTGCTTAACCTCATCCTGCATCGACATTGCTGCATTACACATCTAAAACCCCAACACCAGCTAAAACGGAGCTAGTTATCAGCGAGATATGATGGTTTGTCATTGTATTTCTTCTTCTCCTTTTAGTTCCACGATTTAGGTCAACACCAACACTAGTCACCCTTGGTCCGCTTTTCACTATGTCATTGTTGTTGGAAGTGGATGTTGTTGTTGTTGTAGGAGATGGAGCTAACAAATCTATTTTGCATAATTGAAAATGTGTTGTGAATAGGAGGGAGTTGATTATGTGTTGTGTAAATCTGTGTGTGGAAGGTTGCAAATAAAATTTTGAGATAGTCAAAACATCAACCTCAGTTCATTGTAGAATCAATAGACTTGAAAACATCAATTAAAGTCTATTGGGCGATCAACGAATGTCAAAATGCGCTTATTTAAGTTTTTTGGTCTTTGATCAAACTTAGAAAGGGACTATTTAAGTCTGTTACTCAACGACAAACTTAAAAACTGATTATTTAAGTTTCTTACGAGACTAACGGACTTAAATAATTGTCTTTTATTTGTAAAATGGCCACAATGTATTTTTTAAGCTTGTTTCCTTTAAACAAACTTAAATTCAAAGACTTAAAAGATTGTTTTTGTACTCAGATTGGTATGCGAAACACTACAAAAAAAACTTGATTTACTAACATAATATATTCGTCGGTAACTATCAAAATTCATCATTGATGTCAACTTTTAGACGAATTATCAACGTACAAAATTTCGTCAATAAATACTTGTTGAAAAACATTTACTAATAGACTAGCCGTCGATAATTACCGACAACTATAAGCCGTCAGTAATTACCGAGAGTTATGATCTGTTGATAATGACATTGGTAGAACTTTTGACCGCACTTGAGGCTCCAGAGTAAAGAAGACTCATGAGAGGAGAATGTCATATTGAAGGGACTTTGGCAACTAAATTTCTGAAAAAAGAGGGTAAGTCTTTCAACCACAAAAATGATAGTAAATCCTCTCATGTTTTTCCATCATGCCCTTTTTGTAAGAAAAACAATCATCCACATACAAAGTGTTGGTGGAGGCCAGATGTGAAATGCCATAAATGTGGACAATTAGGGCATGTGGAGAAAATCTGCAAGTCATAAAAAACACAAGAGAATGTACAAGTTGTTGTTGAAGAGGGTAAAGAAGAAGAACTTTTTGTTGTTTCTTGCTTTGCTACTGCAAGATCAAAAGAAAGTTGGCTAATTGATAGTGGTTGCATAAACCACATGACTTACGATCAAGAATTATTCAAAGATTTTGATGCAACCTACAATACAAATGTCAGAATTGGAAACGGAGCAAAAATAGCAGTGAAAGGCAAAGGAACCATCGCGATCAAAGGTTGCACATGTTTGAAATTAATTACCGATGTTCTATACGTTCCTGAAATTGACCAAAACTTGTTGAGTGTTGGCAAACTTCTAGAGAAAGGCTATAAACTTCTATTTGAAGATAAAACCTGCATGATTAAAGATTCAGATAATAAAGAATTATTTAGAGTTCAAATGAAAGGCAAGAGCTTTGCTTTGAATTTGATTGATGAAGAGCAGTTTGTTGTGCACAAGGTTGAAGACAATATGCAGGTACAAGGGCTTCCCAAACTAGAAGAGAAATCACCCGTATGCGCAACTTTGCAATATGGAAAACAAACAAGGTTGCCTTTTCCAAAAGACAAATCTTGGAGAGCAACAAACAAGTTGCAGTTAATACATATGGATGTCAGAAGACGTAAAAGAACCCCACCTCTGAATGACAAGAAAGTAGTGTTAGTGGGTATTATAGTTGGTGAAAGTCAAATTAAACTAGAAAATTTAGAGGAAGAAAAACATCATACGACAACTCTTCCTAAAGCAGAAGCTGAAAATGCAAAAAAGGCAAAAGAACAACTACAAGTAAATGAGATATTTGCGGAAGATTGTAAGGACATGAAGACTAAGCAAGAAATTGTAATCGGGACTTCCAAAAGTGAAGGAACTTTAGATGATACGGTCAAGGATGAAAAAACTTAGTGTATGCTGACTTTGAGTCAAGGAAGAGATTGTTGGAATTTTGTGACTCAAACAATATTTGGTTGAAGAAGTCAAATAAGTTAAATAAAAATATATTCCTATCCTATTTCTTAGGAGGATTTTATGGATTACTTAATTAATTAGGTTTAGTAGATATTTCTCAAATCAGTTACAAATTCTGTAATATAAATATTTATTACTTAAGCTCAATAAAATATATCAGTTTCCCTTTAATTTTTTTGCCTCTTATACTTTGAAACCCAACACTTCCTTTCACTCGTGTTAAATTTAATCCAAGAAACATGAAGAAATTACAATATAACCTTTAACACACTCTAAAATATATCAGTTTTCCTTTCATTCTTTTGTCTCTTATACTTTAAAAACCAACACTTCCTTTCACCCGTGTTAAATTTAAACCAAAAAACATGAAGAAACTACTATATATATATAACCTCTAACACACTCTGTAATTTTGTTTGGTATTCCTTCAAGAAGGTAGCATTGTTTGAGCATAAAAAATTAGAAAACTTTTATACCCATCAGTTTACTTTTCTTGACTCGTTTTTTTCTCATTCTAGTAAGTTGAGTACTTAGACATGTTATATATATGATGTGCCCTTTTTTCTTTAATTAATACAAGTAGGCATGTGTTTGGTGTGGTTTTGGATACATATTAATGCTGAAGCTGTGAATGTACAATATAGGCTAAGCTGAGTAAGGAATATCCAAGCCACCACTCAAGTACATCGTTAATGAATTCAATGGCGGCAGTACAAGCCACACTCTTTGCCCTTTGTGTTGAAAAAGATTGGAATCAATGGAAGTTGCCTTCAGCTATTAGGATTTTGGCGACACTCTATTCGGTACGCTAATAACAATTATTCAATTTCTATATCATTTTTATTTTATTTTCTTCATATTTTCAATTTTCATCACATTTTACCTATTGCGCTCTCTTTCCGCTTGTTTTTCTCATACTTTAGCTAACTCCAAAATGAAATGGAAATTTGCCATTTACTTATATTTCATATTTGGAAACTAAAATTCTGTGGCAGGGAATTGCAGTCACTGCATTTGTGAATATTATCACTTCATGGTGTGTACGGAAGAAAGGTCCATTATATGTATCTGTATTCAATCCCCTTGAGCTTGTGCTCGTGGCTGCCACTGCTCCCCTCTTATTACAAGAGAAACTATACCTTGGAAGGTATACACTATTTCTTTTGCACCATATTTTGACTTAATAAACATTTAGACCTTGTTTGGTAAAATTGTTGGTAACTTGTGGTAAACCTTAAATAGAGAAGATAAAAAACGATATATATTTATGAATTGGTAGTTAATTAAAAGGTAGCATCATAATTATGTACTTTATGCTATTTTACTCTTCTTCTATATTGTGTGTTATTGCTGAGAAGGAAAAAAAAACTCGCATACAAGATTATATCGTGTTAATTTCTCTAGTGTGTGTATGACTGATTTTTATTTATTTTTTAATATGTTCAGTGTACTTGGCGCATCGCTAATTGTGTGTGGCTTGTACATGGTGCTGTGGAGTAAAAGCAAAGAAATTAAACCACAAACTGATTTGGTGTTATCAGAGACAGAATTAAGTACGACTGAGGTTGTTGTAGTCTCTGCCAACGATAAGAGTGATCATGTTAGCAATAACCAGGTGAATAGTAATAGCAACACTGTAAACAAAGGCTCTTAAATGAATCTTTGGGAATAGGTGAGATCATCAAATGAATGACATTGAAAATAATAGTGGAAAGAAATTGATGTAGGCATGCATGTAAAGGAGCAGTAATGCAAGATGAATGTGATGTGTGTGTGAAAATATTATTTTTCTTTTTACTTAAGCAAACAGCTTATACGTCCTAACCCTAATAGCACACTTCATACTTGCCATACTACAATAAGAGTTTCAACTTAGTGTGTCAAAAACTTGAGGACCAACCATTTTTTTGTTAAAAAAATGTATAGTTTCAGATGTAGTTAGATGCAGCCTCTCATGTTTCTCTACCTTGCACAAAACCATTTTGTGAATAGTTATAGCTTATTGAAATATATGGAACAATCTTTGCATGCATTATATTAAATACTTAGTAAGCTATATACAATTATACAGCGTTTTTTTTTTTCTTAAATTATGACAAAATAAATAAATGATCCTACTAAATGCTGTTAAAAGGTATGTCTCTAGCTCTCCTTGTTCAGCAACTTTGAATCTTTCCTTCTTTGCCCAAGCTTCGTAGACAAATCTCCCGAACTCCACACTGTTACAGATTTCACTACTTATAGCTAGTTACCTATAAACATGGTTTAACCTACAAGTACAGGTTAAAAGGACTTCCTACAGTAGGTAGACTTCAATGTAAATTCCTCTGTCCAGTGCATTTGGTTGATCTTGTCCAGCGAGTAGCAAGTCTAGCAAGTGAATCTGTCTTCATTTACTGGATGTGATAGGTTGCTCCAGCTCTTCAAATTGTTCATTGGAGTCCTTAACTTGAAACATTAGGTCACCACAGCTTGGTTCAACCTTTTAATGGTCATTTGGCATAAGCTTCAGCTCACGGCCTTCTCCCTTCAAGTGCAAGTTGATCAGATTTAATTCTAGCTTTAGTTGCACTGGCCACTTCCAAAACTGGTTGCTCATTTATAGCTTTTGTTGCATCGAAGCTTATTAAAAGTTGGAAGAATTTTCATGAGAGAAGATTATCATAGAAATGTTTAAAATGAATATCTAAAGAACTAACACTAGTGCAAATAAGAGATATGAAAACGGGTTATACGTCTCGGTTTTAAGAAAACCGAGGCATATATAGAGGTGGTGGCATTTTTGAAATTTTGACGAATTTATACGCCTCGGTTACAAAAGAACCGAAGCATAAAAGCAAAATTAACTCGGTTAAAAGCAAAACCGAGGCATATTCCTGTAATTTATTCCTGTAATTTTTTGAAATTGTCCAACTACCTCGGTCCTCTCACCAACCGAGGCATATTCCGAAATCAAAAGGGTAATTTACCCTAATTTCGACTTGGGTCCATTCTTTTCTCTCCTTTACGAAACCCAGAAGCAGCATCCTCTACGAAACCCAGAAGCAGCATAAAGCTTCTTCACCACGGCAGACGAGTGCGGCGAGTGTGGCGAGTACGGCGCCTGTGGCGAGTACGGCGAGTGCGGCGAGGCATGGAGAGGTGGCGGCGAGGTGGCGGCGAGGTGGCAGCAAGGTGGCGGCGAGATCGCAGCGAGGTTGCGGCGTGGTCATAGCGAGACCGCAGTGAGGCCGCGACGAGGTGGCGATGTGGTGGCGGCGAGGTCGCGGCGAGGGGATCCTGGACCGATGGCGTTTCTGCAGCGGTGGGGTTTCTAAAAGGGTTTAAATTCCATCTTCTTTCTTCTCTCTTTCTTCACCACGACAGACTCAATGTTGGCGGCAAGCGCGACGAGGTGGCGGCGAGGTCGTGACGAGGTGGCGGCGAGGTCGCGACGAGGACGTCCTACAGCGATGGCGTTTCTGCGAGAAGGGGAGGCATCAACCTTCAAGCGGTGCGACTGTTTGTCGGGGTTCGAACCGAGGTCTGAGAGGGAGTGGTTTCTTCAAGATGGGTCGGGGTGGTTGCATGCGGAAGAGCAATTTGTCCAGGTGTGGAAGCAGAGAGGGGTTTGTGGAGGTGGCACATGTGAAGGTTCCGGACACTTTGAAGGTTCGTGTAGTGGCGATGATCGGAATGAGGGAGTGCAGAGAAGATGCTTGAATTGGGTATGCAGAGAAGATGCAAAGAAGGTGTGCGGCTTACACGAGTGCGAAGACAGCTCGGAGAGTGGATGCTCTTGAATTGGGTATGTTAAAATCAGTTATCTGTTCAATTGGGTATGTTCAAATCAGTTATCTGTTCTGGATTGCTCCTTATGATCTTGAATTGAATTGGGTATGTTAAAATTGCTCTTTCTGATGTTCAATTGGGTATGTTAATTTTGAAATCAGTTATCTGTTCTCTGTTCTGGATTGCTCCTGATCAATTACAAAAGAAGATGGAGCGGCTAGAAGAAGATGGAGCGGCTGGTTGATGATGTTTTTGAATGGTGATTGAAGAAGGGAGAGCAGCCGCCAACTTTGGAGAAGAAGAGTGTCCCGTGGAGAAGAAGAAGGAGTGTGGCGGCATGGTGGAAGTCAAGCACACTACACTTCACGCTCCAGCTCCAGCTTCGGCCAGCAAACAATGGTGTCCAAAAAGAAATGAGTAGAATGTCCAGCAGAAATGTGTGTACGTGATGGACAACAGCAGCAAGGGCACATGGAAAATGACAAAAAGGAAATGTGCAGCACTAGAGTATGAGAAGAGTAGAGTGGATGCTGGTGCACATGAATGAGACCGTTGGAATAAAAACAAAAGAACCTACGGCCTCGGTTAACTTTCAACCGAGTCAAAATTCTGTCTTTTTATGCCTCGGTCCAAGAACCGAGGCAAATAGGCTATCACTTTTTATCTCGCCTAGATATGTCTCGGTTCAGAAACCGCTGTCTATGGCCCAAAAGAACCGGTGTTGTTTCCCCTTTCTGCACTAGTGTAAGTAACTTGCTATTAGAAAGGATATGGTCTTTTTGAACGAATAAAAAAAAGTAAAAACTTGATAAAGTCCTAAACTAAAATCAACAAAAAGAAACTAATATACTATCCTCTTATTAACGAGCTAACTAGATTACCCTTGGTAAGACGAAAATTAGGTTAAGTCTATACTAAAATAAGCTAGACTATGAAAATCTAATACATCCTATTTCTGTTTCTATAAATTCACTCAACTAACCTAACAACTAATAATTAAAAGAAAAATACAACTTTAAGTCCAATTATCTAATATATATTAAAAATGTCCTAAAACATTAATATTTACACATACTCGTCCTAAAAGACTGATTTTAAGTTTGAAAAATTTCATCACTTGGAGATTCTTAAGTTGTATTTGACATTTTTCAAGAAAGAAAATTTGACTTCTATTTTCTACTTCTCACCTCTTCCTGGCGTGGGTATCAGCAACATTTGCTACTTCCCTTTTTAATGTCGTTCCTGTGGTTACTTTTATCACTCCAGTTTTATTTATTTTTAATGCATGGATTTCTTTATCAAATTTAATATCCTAAAAGATATTTAATTTTATAAAAAAAACAACTATTTTGAAGTTCTTTTTATCCAGAAGCAGTGAGTAATTTTTTTTCCTGCAAATCTATTGTATGCATGAACTATTTCATTTGTCTATTATATAGCTCGGAAAAGTTAAGCTTGCGAACCGCCTTAAAGAGGACAAAGGTGTTGAGAATTGTGTTATGTAGAATTGTTGTTAAAATATATATATTTAGACACATAAGTCTTTATATTTATATTTATTTGACATTTTTTTTAGTTTTTTAATTTTTTTTTGTAAATTGTGATGAATAGCTAAATTGCTTAAATGGTTTCTTGCACAACAAAATGGCATAACAATTGCTTATATTTTTACTATGTTAGTGCTAGATGTTTGAATTCATTAATGATAAGTGAATCAAGACTAAAACAAATCAAAAATCTAGTATAAATAATCGATTACATAAGTATAATAATCGGTTAGATTTAGCCTGAACACTTAGAAAGCTAAACAGGAGCAAATCACTCTGTTATAATCGATTATATAAGTTACATAACTTATTAAAACAGAGAGAAAATCATAATATGTTATATAAGTAACATAATCTGTTAAGGATGGCAAATGGATGACTAATATGATTAAGTGTCAATATAATTGATTACATAAGTTTGATAATCGATTAAAACAGAAAGAATTGTGTTTGAAAGTTGTGCCAACTCAAATTGATACTAACTATCATGTATGATTGAGTGAACTGATTTATTCTTGCTTAAATATATTGGACTATCAAGTTTGTCCTCTTATAGTATGGTAAGTTTGTTCTTTAGCACTTGGTAATATGACTCAATACTCATTGTTATGCAATATTCATGCATAGTAGCAAAAACTACTTTACATACTTGTTCTTAAGCTACTAACATGATTCAGTATAGTGAAAGATGTTTTTTCATATCAAAACTTGAGTGAAATAAACTCAGACATCATTATGTTTTGTTCAGACCATTACTGCACTTTTTAACAAATTAAAATATATTAAATGACCATTATTGTAGAATTTAATATGTTAAATCAATAATGTAATCGGTTATGTGACAAACTCTGTTTTAATGTGCATCTAGCTGCATTTTTGGTCTGCTGCACAAGTCTAAGATTGTATTAAATTCATGTTTTGAGTAAAATTCATGTTATTTGTTGCATATAGCACAAATTCACATTGAATACCATGGTATAAAGTGTAATATGCATCATTTTGACTATATTTATGCACTTATTACTCTGCTGCAACGTTGATAGTACATCTATCATGTTTTCTGCTACATAATACATGGTAATTTCAATGTTTAGATTTGTAAATCATACTTGGTTTAAACATTGCAAAGATCACTTGACATACTTAGCATTTAGTACCATGACATTATCATTACTATATTAATCAAATTCTGCTATGATACAAGTCAAATTACTCTAATATATGACTTTGGAATAATAATTTTGAGGAGGCTTTAGCTTTCAAGATTGGATGAAGCACCAAGGTTTCAAGACTTTATTAGAATTCGATGGTGTTTGGTATCCATATTTAGTCAATG